GCTCTGCCCACGATACGTAGAGTAGCTTCGGACAATCACCGCAAAACGTCCAGGTCTGTACATGGTGGTGCGGGTAAGAGGCATGGTACTGTCTGTCGGAATACAGCTGTCAATGGGCACAGCCCCGGGCATAAAGTATGCTGTATGCCTTCCCTACTTTACCTCCCCCTTGACTTCTCTCCCCGATCGATGTAACAAAATGGGTACAACAGTATTNATGGAGGCGATACGTTCCTCCGAAACGTCGGTTAACACCACATATACACGGTGCCAAATCCCAGAAGACTGCTTTCTTCATAGTCACCGCCGTGAAAGCCTCAAATCTTATACAGTATTCTCCCTTCTTCTCAACTCAAGCTTCTGTGTTTTATATGAAAGCAAATCTTACGACGCTCGTGAACATGCGCGTGTTACGGGCCTATGCAAATTACGGTACACCAATAAACAAACATCCGGGGATAAAGCTGACCACTCACCTCCATCTAGCTGCGAGATCAAGAATGATAAAGCTATACCTCCACTCCTCCATACGTCTTCAAAGCGTGGTGCTTAATTAATTCCTTACAGGAACTTTACCTTTCTACTGCAGAAAGTAAAACCATCTCAATGCGTAAGCACACGGTGAAGACATACGGGGTCAGAGTCCCTGTATTTAAAGGTTAATGGGCAAGCAAGCAGCCGCACAGGGACCCCTTATTTTGGGAGCTTCAACCGCGCGACCATTGGTGTCAAGCCCTTAAACTTTCATCAACTATACTCGAATATCTACAGAATAAATTTCGGGACTTCTTATTTTTAGCCTTCGTTATAGTTAAGATTCCAATAATTTGTATACTCATACATCTGGTCACCCGGGGTCCGACTCCTGGCAGAGGCAAGAGATGCTTTATTCCACGGAGCCCAGCCCAGCCCCCTATCCAACGGTACCGTGCTCATTACCCGGAGTTAAGGCGGCCGGACCGCGAAACTGAACACTCGCCTCCACCTAGTACCGATATGAAGAATGATGGAGCTATACCTCCACTCCCTCATACGTCTTCATGGTGTCGCGCTTAACTGCTTAATTAATTAAGCACAGGGACAACTTTACATATTTACATTTATGTGAAATTTGTTTACTGAGTTGAATTTTCTACTATCTATTTCGCATTTTTTAATATAAACAAGCTATGTACTGGTATCGAATTGCAAGGTACTTTGCCCTGGGACCATCGTGGCCTGGAACTGGTTCAGTATAGAAGGGCATACCAAGCTCCATATATCCTTGGACGCTAGTTTAACGTGCGTGGCCAACTTAACGTCCGAAACGCGTTACAACCACGGAAGCAAACCGCGATGCCGCCTGGACAGAAGGCTGAGTGAAGCCTACAGTTCTCACATCTTCCGCTGCCAGGTATCGAACTACGGTCGTCCAAACCGCCAGGCCCTTCTTGAAATTCCACTTGAATCATTACTGGGTGTATTCGAACTGCGGACGTCAGGGATGTGATGCCACGAGTCTAAAAGATCAACTTAATGAGGAACTTGCTGCCTCCATCTTCTGAGTCCACCCTGAAGGTGGTGCCTATATGTGTACAACTGGATGTGGTCATACTCCAAAAGATCGTAATCATAACACTCACCGCCATGAGAAAACAAGTCTCACCGGCAACGGGTGTCGCCTATAGCACAGATGTAATTAAAGGTGATTGCTCACTTTCTTCGTGTTATTGTTTAGGCAGGCCATAAGCGTGTAAGAAACATACTTCTTCGTAACATTAACATATTATGAGGGAGAGTCAGTAAATAGGTCATATATGGATACAAAACGTAAAGCATGTCGAAACACCCCAGCATATAAATCTTCTGACCGTTGTCTCAGACACTTCCGCGCCTCACTTTCAACCTCCACGTCCTTGAAAGAATTTCTCGACCCAATTGTAAGTCGCTTTACGCGACAAACATTTCCCACTTTATACAGGAAACATTTCCTTATGAATATCCTTTGCAATGAGTACTTCTGTCCGCAAAAAGAAAAAAAAAAAGACCCACAACAGAACGCTGCTCTTCGGTAATACACTCAAGTACGGTCGCCATTTTGACTACTGAAACCAAATGAACATCAGAATTCGCGTCTACTACCTAGACTGTCAAAAAGCTGGACTGTGCTGCTACCTTGTGATACAAAGAAAAACTATTACGTCTATTACAGCTATTTTACTTCCACTTGCGGCCAATTTACTGATGCTTCCTCATATGTTACTTGTTTTAAACACAGGAAACAATACACACTAGCTGCATTTTAAGTTCTCACGGGGGTTACTGCGAAGAATACTATCTTCTGGGATGCAACACCGTATAGTCCGGTAGCTCAGCGACCTTTCGGAGGAACGTACTACCCGCTCTGCCTGCCTCATGCTAGTTTCTTGTTTGCCTTATTCTTCGACCCTGATGTTCTTGCTCCGAAACGTCAGTGAACAACCGGGCTACACGTCGTTACATACCACGATATAGCACCATTCAGTACACCTAAGCATTACAGAAGTTCCCCACCGCGGCGGCCAGAGTTCGATCCCAATTCAGGTCATGTAAGATTCGTGGTGGACAAGGTGGCACTAGGGCAGGTTTTCTCCAAGTATTTCGCTTTCCCCTGCCAATTCTCATTCTACTAACTGCTCATTCATTAACCGCTGACGCCATATAGTCTTCATACTGACTGCATCGTTAAATGAGAAATTCAATACAAATTACGAAAGTTAAAAAATGTTATGTCACTCTGTGGGTCAAGTGATCACCAACTGTCAACATCAAGAGAAATGTGACGTTCTCACAGAGGTGTACATTAGGACAACAAAGTTCTGTGACATCGTGTTGTGTCCGAAAAGATGACAACCTCCATGTCTGTCGCATGCAAATGAGCAATTATCCAATCCTGGCGATAATTCTAAAACATTCTAAACGACGTATTAGGGACAGTTCATACGTGATGATTCACACAAGTAGAGATGCGCGAAGTAGTGACAGATACTTTTCTGAGTCAAGTAAAAAGTGGAGGTGGCATACGGCTAATTACGTTACACCTCATGCTACTATATGCCGAATGTCGCATACCATTAACGAGTTCAATGAGGATATTCGGCCATTCATAAAGGAGGGGGGGGGGACAAATAAGAAATGCCATGCTGCAGGCTTTGGAGTGAAAGTCAACAAACGTTCGCTGTATGAATGGGGATGCTGGTAACTTGCATGTTGTCAGTAGGTACCTAGGCTTTCTATTATGGAATGTCACAGACGATTACACAATGTCAAAAGAACCGTAGGAAATGAACAGATATCTTTACAAATTAAAATGACTTCAGAAGAAAATTCCTGTAGCTGTTCTTACATTATTGTAACCGTTTTTTTCTTGGCATTTTCGGGGACAGCCATTCTAAAGTCACTGGTGGGAGCTGGAGGAGGTAGCTGTCATTTAAATGGTACACAAATACACCCTACATTTTTTTTTTTTTTTTTTTTTTCCTCGTTTAACACTACCAGCTTGGTTTGAAATACCAGAATGTAGCGGCATCTCATATAGCATAAAAGTTGACAAGAGTATAACGTTCTGCTCAATTGTAATAATGACAAAACTTAACTAACGAAGTTTTTCTGTTATCATAGCCTTCACCGCCGCGGAAACATCTCATTGACTTCCTAATGGTCCGTGGTTCGCGAAAATCTGGGATGAATGGTCACTTTTATCTACATCAAATAACAGATGAACCGCTATTTATTTTTTCAAATTCTAACACGATCTGCAAAGCTTTCCGTACTTCTAAATATTGTTACTGTAGAAGTTTTAGGCACCGGACAGTCTTGTGGTCCTCTGCGAACAGAATTAATAGCGAGCAAACCATGCGCAACATGTGATTTCCATGTATCGCTGCCAACTTCAGAAAATAAGGTTCCACGTTCCAAAAATAACCTTCCTGCACACTCAGAAGACGCCAAGCTGTCTCTCATAGACCTCAGACACAGCGTAAGAGACAAAATAAGATGGGATGAGGAAATTATGTTAATAAACACAAGTACTACTGTCCATATATACTAAGCAGCAACACAGTTCAGTCGTTTGTAGTATTCGTAATCTTGTAAACAGTAAAATTACAAGTTCTTATACTTTATAAGAACACTGCTGGGGCTCATTTAGCAGGATCTACAAATCTTATGAAGCGTTTAAATTGTCCGCCATGGTTCGAGTTAGTCAGTCCGTGTTTACATGATTAAAATAGCTAGCTGGTTTTCCAACCTAGCAACAAGGGCAACAAATTCATGTCTGGGATGGCTGGTAAAACCACAACTTTGTAACCAACTTCGAAACACGGTTAAATTCATTAAACGCATACTTTTCCTGCTATATGCGTATCTCTTTTAATTCTCGTCCAATTAAGTACGTCCACGCGGTAAAATTTGTAATCATGTCCATCAGTGTAACAGACACTAAAAATATGCGATTAAAACAATTATAGCTACGTTGCTAGGCCAACGTATTCATCACTTCCTTCAAAATCTCAGAAATGTATATTCAGATACACCTATACAAAATATTCACACGGTACTGTTAAGTGATCTGTTACGCGTGCCCTACTGAAAACACCATGCACCAAATTCTACCACCGAACATATATCCGCATTCCTCTCGCGAAACTAGTATACCTTATCACGAAAAAATCACTTAAACCCTTCGTATGTAGTGTACAATACTTTGGCGATTAGCCACAACCAAAATCTTGCGTATTTTCTGGGAGATGGCAGCACATGCATTCACCATCCAAACCTAAATTACTGTAATTTTATAACAAAATACACATCTTCAGAGCTATTCTACACAACGATCACATTATGTCTTTTATATTGGTCACACATAAGTCATTACAAACGCTTCTCACACCATTACAGCCGAATTTTACAACATCCACACAAGAAACATCTCAGGAATTTAGGGATTTGACGTGGGGCCCCGCAGGGTGAAGTCTCCTTACCTGTCCCGCGGGTCAATCCACGTTGTTTTCTTGCTATTGTGATCGATGAAATATATTTTCCCGTCGTAATCCCTTGCAAAATCCCATCCGTCGGGTAGAGGTATCTCTCCATTTCGTCTCCTTGGCATATTTCACCACTTAAATCCATCCAAATGTATAGCAACTGGCAACACTATTCTACCTACTCGCCATATTGAATACCTCATTATGAGTGAGAAATGTGACGTCACCTACACTAGCCAATCAACGACCAGATGCCTTGGGAAAGGAATGCGCGTATTAACATAACCATGAAGTAACTTGAATGACTTCTACTTGGACCCCCAGCTCTGTGCCCAGCTTTGCATTGGCACATAGTGAGAGACAAGCAATATTCGATGTATGCACTGCTACGAAGACGAAAGCCATTGCGGTATGTGGCCAGAATGATATGCGTGGTATTTTCCTCCGTTCTTTTTGTTTAATATATACAGTGTGAATTATTTATTCCATGGCAGGATATGAGTTTCATTAGACGCATCAAACACTAAGGAGACACAAGTATAATTAATATATACAATTTCCATAAATACACAATTACTATCAGCAGAAATATAACTGAAATGCAATGCAAATTCTAAAGCTGTTTGTGTACATTGTTACTTAATCTGCAACAGTCGACATTTAAAATCTGCACCACATCCAACTTGTAATTGAAAAACGTGTTCCTAACAGCTCAAGAAAAATAATGCCCTTTGCCAATCAGCCATGCCTTCAGAATCACTTCCATAGACAGGGAATCTTTGGAAATGTGACAGTCACTCACTAGTCATGAAATTTTCCTCCTTCTTTCTATGAAACCTGAAGGTTCATTATTTTGTTCACTTGAGGACACTAATCGATCCAGCCCTGAGTCCGCTGCATCCAGTCCTCATCAAATTTGAATATCGTCCGTAGTGGACCAGTACCTTCATGATTTCCAATTAAATTGTAGCAGATATTTCTCACAGTTCAGGGCGCTGCACTACCGACCCATCCTCTTGATCATTTCATTACGAGTACAAACCGTGAATCTCATTGTATAGTTATCTATATTCTCTTGCTACGACCTCTATCTAGGTTTTCAATAACACCCTCAACCTGTATTTTCTCCCTCGGAGGATAGTCAAAGTTACACAGCCATATAAACAACTAAAATTACTGTTTCATAATTTAATCTTTGTATTTTTGGATACGAGATGCGATGATATGCCTTTCTATTGCCAGGTTTGCGAAGAATACAGGTCACAAACCAATTGTAAACAATATGACAACCAGTACTTCTCACGTAGATTCTAAAGGGTTCTGACGATGGTTTATAAAACTCAGAATTACTGGGTTTTTTGTCGGGTATTCTAAAAAATAGAGAACACAACGTTTCGGAAACTGGATATGTTTCCGTCCTCAGGTGAGGGAGGAAACACCTGCTTTATGGGTCCCTTAGAAAGAGCTAACCTCAATCACTGGACAATTGAGTGACTGGTTATCTCTTTCTATTGAACCCAACAGAGTAGTTGTCTCTCAATCACCTAAGGATGGGAACGGATCCAGTTTCCGAAACGTTTTCTCTCTTTCTTTTTTAATCCTGGGCGATGGACAAAGTCCAGAAACCGAATAATTCTTAATATTTCTCACCCACACCAAGTTTCCTCCAGTTTCAGACATAACACCACTGTTAAGAATTTTTCTAAGATGGCTCTGCTACTTTTACTCTTCCGAAGCATTGCTGGTAATTTGCTTAGAGTATTCTTCGGCCATGAAGATGGAAGCAACATGTTCCTGTAGATTACATGGCATTATTCCCACAAAATAGCACCCTTCATAACCACCGCTACGAGAACCTCACATCCTACCTAGTTCATAAATTCCTCACCGTTCCAATAACTTGCAGACTGTAGCGCCATCTATTAGTAAAAATGTTTGTGTAACACCACCTTCCTTCACAGCTTCAGATAACTTACGTCACATGCTAAATGTGTCATTAGGAATCTGTAAGTCGCGCAACTTTTTAGAGCTGTGTAATAAATGAATATTTCCCTAAAAATATGCAAGAAATGGATTGCCAGTCCATCGCGACAAGATTACGTTGAAGATATTCCTCTCATGGAAAAATCTTAGTTTACAAGAAGTTGATCTATGGGAACCATTTCTTAGATCCCAAATTTCTGTATTTTTATAAGCAAAATATTTCGCTCATCTACATCCCGGCATGACATGATACAGCACAACCAGGTCTCAAAAAAGTGCTCAATAGTATTTTTATGTACACAACTTTCAATGAGAACTATGCATCTCTATAGCTTACACAAAGTCCAAAATTTGATAAAAAAAATCGATGAATTTCATACATAAAAAAGTGAGTTGCATCTAGGAGGAAGTAGTTCAAGACAGCCTCCAATTTTTCTTCTTGATGTATTAACAAAAATCAGACAATACTAAGAGTAGCCTCCTACCCAAAATAATGACCTTTACTCTTTATGGATACCTAGAGCTGTGACTCAGTCACCACAACAAACCTATTACAATGTCACTTTTAAATAACATATTGAGTATAAACATTCGGAATATCTGGAGAGTTACCGTCAACATATAAATTCAATTTAAGGAGAAAAATTCAAAACCAATTCCAATTTTATAAATGGACATGCACATATTCCTGCTTTTCCATACTGAAAATAAATTTTACCTCAAAATAGCAGAAAACCTATTTTCAAGTCTTGCAAGTTTGTACCCATTTTGCATGCAGAGGAAATGAGGACACTCTTGTCCCTGTTGAATAGGAAAACAGAAGTTATGGCCCTTTAGAAATACTATCCTATAGGAGCTTGAAGGAGGCAGCAAAATCGACTAAAACATCTGTAAATATACACCAGACTATACAGTATCATACCCCAGAAGGCAGTCTCTTTATGTATATATTTTTTTTTAAGTTGCTGGACACTAATGAGTTCACAAAAAAACTCCATTTCAGTGCAAATGTTCTATTACATCTGAATAGGCTGAATGTCAACTTACCTTGATTGCATGGCATTGAGGATCTGTCGAGAAATTATCAAGATATTGAAAAATGCATTGTTTATTAGGTTCATTAGCCCATGTGCCCATGTTTACAATTGCTAAACTCCAGTCCAAAGACAAAATTCACTGCTCAGGCAAAGAGACTTTGTACAAAATCATGTACTTGTAGAATAATTTGAAAGATATGCTGGTAAGTTCCATAGCTAACATCAAATTTTTCTTATGTGATGATTAAAAATGTTACTGATATTCTCTCCTCAAATCTGGGGAGTGTACAGGTCTTGATAGTGATGCACCTATTCTCACAAATAAGCGCATCTGCACAATCAATGTTTGGCTCAGTGACGAACGTTCACGGCCGACAATCATGCGGTTCATTCTCCACGGGCTCTCTTCCCTCTCTGAAGCACTTACACCACTCAAACACACAGGTCCATGAGAGACACTCTTCCCCATACTGTTGTTGGAGTCTGTGGTGAATTTCAGCAGATGGGACGTTTTCTCTGAGGAATTTGATCACAATGCATTGTTCCATGCTCCGCGGTACCTTCTGTTCGCTCATCGCTCTAGCAACTCCCAGACAGGACTGAACAGGTTCTAACCCGAACAGGAGGGAGGGTGGAGGTCTGTGGCTTCACTCTCTCAAGGTTGCACACCTGATGCACAGTGCAGCTTGTTTACACACAAATCAGTCCTGGTCAAGTTTGAACCACCTTGTAATATGCAAAATCTCGTTTAAACTTAATGCACATCTTGCAAGATGTCTAACAGTTCATGGCTATTCTCTTGGATTTTGTCCACTGACCCAGGTTTTAGGCATATGCAGATCCCCTGCAGTGTGCCCATTAAGTTCCCTCAGTCCATCCATATGTATGCATGGAACAATTATAGAACCACACAGTGGAGTTTAATAAAATTTGATATTAAAAAAAAAACTGTCCAGCCTTTTCAATTTTAAGATTCTTTTCCCTATGAATGTGATGAAAGCAATCACATGAAATATAAAATGTTTGTGGGTAACGTATAATGATACATGTTTGTGAATAGAATGCACACTCTCTCTTAAATTCTACAAGCAACTGTTGTAATGTACATTTCTTTTCATATACAAAATTCCCTTACAGGTTAACAGAGTATGTTTATTCGCCCCACCAGATAACAACATGAAAATAGTTTAATTTGACTCAAATTTTCTGTGTTGTCCACTTTATGAATTCACACAAGATACCATATAAATACCTCTAAAACTGTTAAATGGTCTAATTCCAAAATTCTGTTCAAATGACTGTTTATAACAAAATTATCTTAAAACATCAATTATGATGAAAATTTCAAACATCTTCTGAGATGCTCCATGTAGAACAATGAAATTTGTTGGTGAAATTCAATATATTTTAATGCAGTACTTAAAGTAAATAAATAATTTATGGCAAGTATAAATCTCATACAACATTATGCACACAACTTCAGTCACATATTATCTACTTTTAGCAGCAGCTTACGATACAGTCCTTTACATATTTCTGATACTGAGCCAATAATTTTGATCATATAAGCAGTTTACTGCTCCTTCCTCTTAACCTGATGTCCCTTCTTTCCCATTCTCCACCATGGGTCTGTCAGTACATAATCTTTCAAGTTGTTCTGTGTAAAATGTATTGAAGTCCAATCTAGAAACAGAAAATGAGTCATATAAATACAGAGTCCAAAGACACGTTTATGCATACTAGAAGTAAAATATTTATGTACAAAACTTTCAATTCAAAGTTGATGTTCAAATGTAAATCATATGCCCTTATGTCTCCTGTTTTCTTCTCCATTCTGTAACGCAAACCCATCAAATTCGTTTCCTGAATGTCACTCAAATCCATTCTTGAATATGTCTGATGATGATGCATCACAAGTTTTGTGGAAGCCACCCACACTGAATTGAGTGCTAGCTAATCAGCGCAGACCACAGCAGCTTCAACGCCCATTGGTTCGCATGCCACCTAGTGACAACATACAAAGATGCGGACCTCCAGCACGACAGCAGTAGCCACAGCTACACCTACATCAAGAGAGCAGGACAAGAGCAAGTCTCCGAGGATCAAACTGACTCCACACAGCAACAGCAAGTCTCATGGCAGCAACACCAGCAGTCGACTCCACTAGCAGTCACCTAGATCCACTGTGAAGTTCAATCCATTAGAGCTGGCCCACAATCACCAAGCTGCCCCTGAAGGAAGACTGCCGACACTAGCACAGGCTAGTCTGCTGTGACACAAGCTTTGCCCAGCATCAAAAGGGCACACCTGGCCCCACATATATGGCCATTTTCAGGGCCATGACCTGACCAATCATTGCACTCTGCTTCCCTGCCCATCTGTATATTCTAACAGCAATAAATATTTGTTGTAGAAGTTTACATGGTTCTCTCTCCACAATACCGGATCCAGCATTCCACAACTTTAATATCCTGGACCTTACCAATTGTCTAGGTTTAGTCTTAAAACACCATATTTTTTAAAATGTTTGTCTTCAGGCAAATGAGAACATGATCTCAGTAGCCTGTTAGAAAGAGCTAATCTTAATCACTGGGAATCCCTTTATTACTATTATCCCACAGGCTAAATGAAATATCTTAGCATATTAAAAACAAAGTATCAAGAAATAATGCCTATTTTGTGCAATCTGACACTCTCGTGGCACTGAATGTATTGATTATTGTACTCTGGGATATGAGAACATGTGGAAGGGTAGAAAGTTACCAGCATTTCAAAGGAATCTGTTGCCTCCATTTCCTGGAATGTAATGATTACTGTATTCTGGGATATGAGATCATGTGGAAAGGTAGAAAGTTACCACCATTTCAGAGGAATCTGTTACCTCCATTTCCTGGAATGTAATGATTATTGTATTCTGGGATATGAGATCATGTGGAAGGGTAGAAAGTTACCACCATTTCAGAGGAATCTGTTGCCTCCATTTCCTGGAAAAAAATCTTACTTTCTACCCTGATGACAAAGGCAGCATGTTCCTCCAAAACGTTGGTTACTTTCTACCAGACTGCTCAGTATCACATACTAGGAAACAGTAATCTTCATATTCACCACCATGAGACTCTTAATGTCACAGGCACCAGACTTGAACTCCATAATACAGATCTTCCATCTTCTCTGATAAGTGAGGCAATTATATTACACACCAAATGCAGAAGTTATGTCCTACCTGTACAAAACATTGAGGAGTTTCTCGCCATTGTTCTCACGACCAAGTTCTGAGATCTTATCCAGAAGACCAACGAGTACTGCAGTGAACTGCAAGTTGAACTTGGCAATACTTTGTTCAAAGCTATCACTGTCACAAGCCATTGTGCTCTGATGTTCTGGTGATGGTGGTGGCGTTTCCTACATAAATGAAATTACAGTTAATACAGTAACCATCACAAGATATGTATGAAAGACAAAACCATGCAAAACTGTTAGGTTCTTGGTTTGTAGTTTACGACACTGTTACTACTCATTAAACAGCTCTGAATAATTTGAAATATAAGGAATAATGAACTGTATAGGATGTAGAACGAAGCAGTTATGGCAATATCCCTGCATTTGCCTTGAGACTGGGAAAACCATACAGGAACTCAATCATTATATTTGGCACTCTGGCCAAAATTCAAATTGGACACTTCCTAAATGCAAGTCAGAAGTTTTACTGCTTGAACCGATTTGCGTGGTATGTGGTGGTTAAAGCTTAACTCATATAGTGTGCTGGCTTTCTTATTTTAGCAAACGTTATGATTTCTGGTAAAACTGAGCCAGATACTCTTGAATCTTTTGGCATACAGGGACAGGCAATAAATTATAATAGTTCACTCATAAAGAAACTGGGTATAGACTAACACTCAGACTTTCATTCCCAGCAGAAACTGAAATATTTCTTTGGTTACAAATAAAAATTACTCCGTCCAATGTGACCTGTAAGTTTTATACTACTTGAAAACTTAACACCCTTACATGTTTCGGTCTCTGTGGACCATCTTCAGAGGGCAAACATCACTACAAATAGGAAACCACCATCACATAAGTTGTTAGACGTAAAGTACGTACACTTATATGCTACAATACATAGTATACAAAATAGACATTTCACATTTCACAAAAACAGCAGTTTCCTGGGAATGTAAAGTTTTTTATAAACAGTGAAAACAACACAGCAGCCACGAGCAAAGCCTGGACGATATAAAGAACCTCCACATCAAGATAGCCAGGTGGCACATTATCTGCCCCATATAAGAGGGATGATGGGAGGACGAACACAAGCCTGCATGGTTTACGAATTTTAATTATTGACAATCCAAAAAATTTTTAATTAGCATCAAGAAATTTTATACAATTTTATAAAAAACTTTACATTCCCAGGAAACTGCTGTGTTTGTGAAATGTGAAATGTATATTTTGTATACTATGTATTGTAGCATATAAGTGTACGTACTTTACGTCTAACAACTTATGTGATGGTGGTTTCCTATTCGTAGTGATGTTTGCCCTCTGAAGATTGTCTACAGAGACCGAAACATGTAAGGGTGTTAAGTTTTCAAGTAGTAAAAAACTTACAGGTCACATTGGATGGAGTGATTTTTATTTGTAATTGTTAGTGTGACAGACCAGAATGAAACAAATAAAAAAAAAATATTTCTTTGGTATTACACCATACTGACCCTGAAGCCCATACAGCCTTCTCAGTGGGTAGCAAGCAGTATTTTTTCTTGGAAGAAGCTAACCATTTACTTCCATATGTAGTGCCAATGCTAAGAATGTGTGGAGTTTCACTTATGCTCCCCATATACACCCACACAGAGTGATGATTAGGTTGTCTCATGCATGCAGACAGACAGGACAAAATGAATTAAATTAACAGGTGCTCTGGATGGTTTCAAATGATCCTAAAAGGTGCATGGAAAACCCTAAACAAGGACAACTGAGCACAGCATAATAGCAAAGAAAATTCCAAAGAGCTAAATAACTCCATGGAGCTGGGCCCCTCCTCAGAAGCTACCAGTTGTGAAGCTACTCAAGAATTTCCACACATTTTATTGAACCTGAAGGTTCATTACCATGTACACAAGAGCCCTCCACCGGTCTCTATCCTAAGCCACAACAATCCCGTCCATACCATCCCATCCTAGCTCTCTAAGATCCATTTTAATATTGTCCACCCACCTACGCCTTGGGCTTCCCTGTGGTCTCTTTCCTTCTGGCTTTCCCACCAATATCCTATACGCATTCCTTATCTCTCCCATTCATGCTACATGACCTGTGCCACCTCATCTTCCTTGACTTGATCATTCTAATTATACTTGGAGAAGAGTACAAATTATGAAGCTCCTCATTATGCAGTTTTCTCCAACTTCCTGTCACTTCATCTCTCTTCGATCCAAATATTCTCCTCAACACCCTGTTCTCAAACACTCTCAGTCTATAGCAAAACATTCTAATACCTTATATTAATGTATTATAAAGTTCATGGAATGCACATTCCCTAAAATTCCATTCCCATAATTTTCATGTACCGAATGTCTACAAATGTTTAAAATGAAGAGACACCAAAGATGTTTATGGGACTGATAAATGTACTAATACTAAACATTTTACAAACTGATTATCAAATTTCTAAGCTTGTTTACATGCTCTATTTCAGTGAATGAAGCCTGGATAATTGATACCTCCGCATAAACATTAGAGCCTTCATAACTCTCGTACGCTGGTCCTAGCATGGACGTAAGTTCAGCGTCCAAGTAGTACCTCCTCATGTGCTGGATGCAAATGCAGCATTAACAGATAACATCAAGTGAATATATGATACAGTGTCTAGTGTTAGGTTAAAGCTGGCACTGAAAATAAAGAGAAACCTGTTTTCATACATTACCATCAACAGCCTTTCCATTGTTAGACCTACAAATACAACATAGAATCCACTGATTCAGGGGCCTTCCCACACTTTTTTTTCTTTTGCTTAACATTTCAAATTCTTTTTTGGAGTATTTTCAGAGATAACCCATCCACATGTTCATTCTAATATCTTCTGTTTTGCTTGATTATTATTACAAAACATAAAATTTAACAGCACAGTTTTATAATGCATTCAAATTACATGTGATAAAAGCATGAGAAGAAAAAGCAAAAGCAATTTATTCAAAGAACACAATAAAATTAAATAATTTTTCTGATCCCACTCCACAATTAGATGTTAATTAAAAACAATTTGTTCTTATTATTTATATTCTGTCTTATGACAAGAATACATGGAACAGGAGTCTTTCACTGTTCACAAATCCTTTGCTGAAAATCATGACATGCTAACATAGCAGAGACATCGGTTCAGATCACCTCATTATTCTTGTTTACCCTTCACATCCACTAGGAAAATTCATAGAAGCAACAAATTTGTAATCTGAAAACAAAACCTATAGATGCAGGTTAAATCTAATAATCTGGTTCCAAATGAAAACAAGGGATTAGAACGAGCTTACTGCATGTTTCTGACAAGCATCACAAACATCAAGTGGTACAAGAAAATTATGTTCTTTTGATGGCAAAAATGAATCAGTCAACTAAACTGAATGGATCTCTTTGTATGCATACTACTATCTCCAGAGAAAGGGACTAGCTCTAATGACAGGGCCCAACCTGAAGACTGAGACAAGCAACCAGTCTCTGAAAAGTTGTTTTACATAAAAATAGGACAATGGATGTCAAGAAACACAATAATTGTATTAAGATACCATCGTCACAAACTCTTACAACCATTCATTTTTATCATTTATTTTCTTTGAACTGATAGTGTAACATTAATGCCATGTTAACAATGTTGCAGCATTAAGAACATTAGTACAGATCCACCCCAAATTCATCTGCTTTCTGCAGTAATTACTACTGTGCTAATATGAAAACAGATTTCTCATTAATTACAATTAAAGCAAAGCCAGAATGACAGATCACATTAAGGATGTAGAAGAAGCAAGTACTAATCCATCTGAAATAGAGTGAATCTATGGTACAATTAAGGCACTACATATATCAAACTATTTATACTAATAGTGATAATTAGTGATAGCAAATGATCATGATAATTATTTCTCAAACTATTCTATGACCTGAAAATATTAAGAATATTCTTAATTATTTTACAAATAAGTCATCAATAAAAATGTTACATCTTATTCGTTTATTTTTCAACTGGAATTCCTAATCAGTGTACAGTAGATCTGTCTAATGACAGTGGATTTAAATTTACAGGAAAGAAACATTAATTGTGCTCCTGAAATCAGATTTCATACTATAATCATCATTTACAACAAGAAGCCACTAATGCTAATTTAAAGAAATGAGCAATTTTGAACAATTAAAGCAGAGTGACAATCAAAGCTGAAAGCAAAGCTACAGTATAACCGCATTTCAATAAATTAACAACCAATTAGTAAACCAAAAGAAATTGTTTCATTTTATATTTATTCAGAGAAAAAAGACCCAAAATGTAAAAATATTCAAAAATACATAATAACAATGTGAAAAATACTTACCAGCGCAAAAACCTGTAAGAGACAATTACATAAGGTAAAAGCTGAGAATTCTTTTAAAATACCTAGTTGATTTGGACAAGAATTAAAACTGCACTATTAACTTCCAATATAATGCCTAACATAATGTTGAACCTGTCAACAAGATACTGTGCAATTTGTTTGTGACTGAAGCAAAACAGACTTATGTTAACAGCTTTTAATGGTGGAATATACATTCCTAGACAATGTGTTAATTTAGCTTTCTAAAAGCATTGGGGTGGGGGGAACAAAAAAGAAGCACTCAGATATTTGCCCAATAAGATCTGCACATTTTCTTATGCTCTGCTATCAAATAATTAGAGAATTAAACAAAATATTTTAATTCTAAGTTGGTTTTCAACGTTTAAAATTCCTTAAAAACATATCACAGAGAGACATTGGACAACTGAGTCTTAATGCTTACACACAGCATTCCATTTTATGTTCTTTTTTATGGAAAGCAAGAATAAATATGTCATTTTAAAGTTAAATAATGGCAGAATCACACAACATTTACAATGGTCTGGTATCATCAATAGAAAAAAAAGCAGACATTAAATGCAGATCAACGATGGAGGCACAAAAATTCAATTTCCATGAGCTGCACCTTCGAAATGGGTATGAAGAACTGCAAGAATTAGATGTATTCATGAAGTGAGATGTCACTTAATACCCTGACTAATTTTTTTAACTATTTTAATGAAAATAAAATATTACACATACAAATGTGTATACACGAAAACAGACTAGAAGTTTGCATAAACTTCATTATATTGAAACAAGCCTCCCTATTTGAATGTATCTTCCTGGACATCATGTTTACAACAGTCTTCTTCTGAGTCTTCAGCATTCACTTCAGAATGTCTATAGAATCACTGAAGTGAACATGTTACCTTATATTAACCCTTCTGCCCAGTGGTTCTACATGTACCACCTGATTTAACATACTAAAACTTTGCAGTCTGCCCACATCTGTGTGTTCTGTATGGTTCTCATTAACAGCAACTGTTTCCCTAAACAGCATTAGACACTTGATCTTTATATTGGAGATGTAACGAGTTTCCTGTGAAGCACGAATTAATTTTTTATATATTATTTAGAAGAAATTCAGTTATTAAAGGGTCAACAGAGAGAGGACATATGGTAACTGCTGAGGCACAGTCTTTGTGATTCATGCATTTACAGTGTGGGTCACTACCTTTTCCCACTCAAATAGCTGTGGCAATATGAGACTGGAGCAACATCAGAGAGTGAAGATTCCTGGTCTATGTGCAGACTCTGCTTTACATGTTTCTCAGAATTAACTGTATCTGCATAAAACATTAGACCTATGATCCTCCCTACACTAAAGATGCATCTACATCATACAACAGAACTTCATGTATAGGATGTGTATTTCTCATGCTCCAGTATCTATTGTTGCATTCTCATGCAAGGAGAATTATGAGTCCTATGTTTCAAGCAGAGAAAATTAATTCTGAGAGATATATATGGTTGACACTGAAAGTGGACCAACCTTCAATTTACATGTGGCTTCAGTCTGTTATCACTGCAGGAGGTTGAGCAGGAGAGGTAGAAACCCACACAGCGGAAAAACTGTCCTGTGAAGATGACACCAAATATCCTGCCTCTGTATTACTATAGCATCCACTGCGACCATAAAATTCATTCAATATTTAAAATATTCTCATCATAATACACAGTATTATTTTTATTGCTAGTGGGGCGGGACTAAGTCCCTTGTACTGCGCCCACTTCTGGCCTATTGTACCAGCCCCAGATGATAGGTGAGGGTGATTGTGGAGCAACTGGTGGAATGAAGATTGGCAGGGGAAACCGAAGTACTCTGAGAAAACCTGCCCCAGCACCACTTTGTCCACCACAAATCCCACTTGACCAGACCCGGGATCGAACTCGGGCCGCCGCAGTGTGAAACCAGCAAATAACCGCTTGAGCTATGGCACGGACATACCGTATTTATTACATAATACAATTCTTTTCATATTTTAGCTATTCACAGCTGGCTGTGAAAGTAATATCTCTTGAAGGTAGCTGAGTAAAGCAGTATGAATGTTCTTAGTTACATATTGTACATTACCTGTATGAAGTGACAGAACTGAACACAGACAGCCATCAGTTTGTTCACAGTGCGCAGCAAAGTAGGGTTGGTAAGCATACAGTCTTTAAGGCAATTGTCCAGGAAGTCTGAGTGGCACACAAGTACGTCATCCACATTATTCACCTGAATACAGCATAATTAAAAAACGTAAGCCATTTACAGTTATACAACCTTCTACCAAAGTGAGACACAAACATGTGCACTGAGCTCACAGACTAGGAAAATAATTGTTTCAGGATCTACCAACTCCTTTTGGCAGTTGGTCTCTAGAGATCTTCAGAGGAGTGGCCAAAGCGACACTGATCTGAATCAGAACGTGCCAATGAGAACCAGAGAACTTAGTAGTGAAAGATTTTCATTGTGAGACATGAATCTGAAGTTGATAAAAAGTCTGGCTCACCATGCTATCTTGCATCACAAAACTGAAACGGGCAATGCATCAACTGGAGAACAGGAAATATATAACAAAAATTTAGTTGCAGAGTCTCATGACACATTGGGACATAGAAACAATAATATTTATTTATTTACCGATTATGTAATAATGCAGTAACTCATATCATACAGAGTGAAATTGTAAAATGATTAATGAAAATAAATTGCAAACAATGTGGAAAGAAGTGAGTGTGATCTAACTGAGGAATTATCCAAGCATTCATTTGAAGGGACTGCAGAAAACCACAAACTTCAGTAAGGGCAGTCAAGGTCCCAATAAAGATTCAAACCAGACATTGGCCAACACCTCTGTACATATTCCATTTCAACGAAACTGCATTCAATATCATCATGATTTACCTTATTGATGCTTGAAAAAAATGTAACCCAGTTGGGTTCAATTACTTCCACCATCATGTAATATTCCAAATTTTGGACACAGTTGAGCATACGCTGACGGAGAGCAAATGCTGATGCGTATGTCTTTGCAGCTCTTAAGGCAAATGACTTGGCCACCTTGTTACATATCCACACTCTGGAATTGTCCAAAATCAAAATGAAATATAAAGCAGAATACTGTATACGTGAAATGAGCAAATGCTGATGCGTACGTCTTTGCAGCTCTTAAGGCAAATGACTTGGCCACCTTGTTACATATCCACACTCTGGAATTGTCCAAAATCAAAATGAAATATAAAGCAGAATACTGTATACGTGAAATGTCTGAGCTACTAAACTTATTAAATACTGGAGTGACACGCACGCGCTCATACACACAAAGTAAATG